AATTTTAATCTGAAGGTATTATCCAATATCATTCTTGTTTTGCCCTATTTGATAACTTTGAGCAACATTTGGTCAGTTACAAATATCTTTTCATATGTTGTAAGAAACTAAATATCACTATCAAATTAGGAGCGCCTGTGGAAGATTGTGCAGCAGCTGGGTCCATCTTCCCATTGTACAACACAAATTGAATCACACTGACTCTGGAAAGTAATTTATTTGAAAAGAGGTAGACTTTTGATACCTAAATTCATTTTAATTCTGGTTTTTAGATGTGGAAGCTTTGTACAACTCACGTAAAATCCTACTGTTGAAATGACTGTCATCCTGGTCTAAGTAACTTTTTAGAATGATGATAGTAAACTTTGAGGGTTTAGCTAAGTGTGTGGCATTGTTAAACTTTTTGCATGTTTTCTTATGCTCATTGTGGGAAATGAAAGGAAAATTATCAATAATTACTAAGTAAAAATATGGATATTTTAGTATTTCCTGTCTTTTGTCTGCAGTGCAACTCGGCTTCTTGACATTTAATCTTTTTGATTATGAAGCATAATAGACAACACAAAAAAGTAGGGGTTAATGAAATATTACAAAGTCAGCATTCATAAACAACACCCAAAGTAAGAAATAGAATAGCACTACCCCTAGGAACTTCCCATGTGCCCCCTCTTGATTAGCTTCTTGCTACCTAGTTCTAACTACTACCCAAACTTCTATGGTAATCAATTCTTTGCTTTTTATTAACTTTATCCTATTACCCTTTAACAACCTCTTAATAACCTTGAACCTATGTATGCATCCCTAATTTTCTTCTTTCTGAACTTTAAATGAAACCACGTTCCATTTTAATTTGTAACTCTTAAGAAACATGGTATAATTAGAGAGTCACGTTCAGAGTTGGGGAAACCTTTATCAACTTAGCTTCCACTTCTAGCTGTGTATCTGCTGAGGGCAAGTGTATTTCACTTCTAAACGTCATTGGAAAAGAAGAATGACTTTGTATTGTAATTATTAAAGGAGACAATGTACATAACAGTAAACTGCTAATATGTTTACTAAGCAGAATATCGTGATAAGATTATATCTGAGTTTTAATGAGTCTTAACATTGAACATACTTCTACTTAGTGGAAGGAGACACTTGTTTCATTTGTGCCTACTGTGTGCTTGCTAGGTTAGCACGTCATGTGGATTTTTGTCACCTAATTTCTTAATACACTGCAAAGTATGTTATTTTATAAAGAAGCTGAGGCTGGGACAGGTTAACTAACTTGTTCAAGGTTATTCCTAATAGGTGATACACAAAGACTTAGGTTTATCTGCAGAGCTGGTGTGTTTTCCATAGAACATACAAAGTGCTTAGAAGTATCCCTGCCATAGAGTAAATCCTCAAATATTTGCTGTTGGTATTTTATTTTTTTAATGAATTCCCCTTGCCCCACATGCTTCAGGGTTTGGCTTGGTTTTTGGTGAGGAAGATTGACTCTGAGCTAACATCCATTGCCAGTCTTCCTCTTTTTGCTTGAGGAAGATAGTCCCTGAGCTAACGTCTGTGCCAGTCTTCCTCTATTTTATATGTGGGACGCAACAGCATGGCTTGATGAGCAGTGTGTAGGTCCAACACCAGGGATCCAAACCCCGGGCCACTGAAGTGGGGCACACGAACCCAACCACTACCCCACTGGGCCGGCCCTCAGGGTTTTCTTGATATCAAATACTTGGACATGGAAGACACCTTCTTCTCTAAATGTGCCTATAGTTTTGATATGAATAAATCCAGCTCTTAAGCTTAGATTTATGTGATTGGTTGTTTCTTGTTTGTTTGTTTGTTTCACTTTGTCTCATGACTTTTCAGTCACACACCCGTCCCCCATTATTGGTGTGTATGTTTTATCCCCCTCCCCATTTTTTTGTTTTGACATTTTGGGGGCAGGCTTGCTCGCTGAGGATAGATGACCTCTTTCAGGGCTAGCTAGGAAGAGACAGTAAACAAGTGAGCCCACCTTTCTTACACAAACCAACCAATCCAGAGTCCGCAACCCCAGCCACCTCCTTTATCTACTCTCACACACCAACCAATATTTCAATGCTCTAACCACCCAGGGTTCAGGTACCAGACAACTAGAGACCACCCCTATAGCCAGGACCCTGCCAACATCATTCAAACTAGCCAATCCTAAGATATTTCCCCTTCACTGACTTGCCTTTTCCTCGGAAAATTCAATAAAGTCTCTGGGCCATGCTATCACTTTGTTCCTTCTGCCTCCTAATCTAACCTGGTGCTTCCCCTTATGGCCCTGCATGGATTGGCCCCTTCTCTTGGGAAATGTAATTAATTTTCCAAATTAATTTTTCATGTTGTTAGTCACCTTCATAAATTAAAATCCTGTGGGTGCAATTGAGACCTTCCTCCCACCACACACAGACACACACAAATGCACATATTCTGTTTTCCTCTTTTGTCTTCCTCTGTGCTTTTTTGCTGCTGTCTTCTGGCTAATTACTCTTCAGTTCTTCCTTTTTTTTTTTTAAATTAGTTTTTAGAGCAGTTCTCTGTTCACAGCAAAATTGAATGGAAGGTACAGAGATTTCCCATATACCCCCTACCCACACACATGCATAGCCTTCTTCATTATGAACATCTCCACCACTGTGGGACATTTGTTAGAATTGATGTACCTGCATTGACATAGCTTCATCCAAAGTCAGTAGTTTACAGTGGTTCATTCTTGGTGTTGTATATTCTGCAGTTTTGGACATATTTTTTAGTTCTTAATTTTGACTGGATTACTACTAAGAAAGTTACTGTGGCAGTATCGTCTGTTTTCATGTTAATCAAACAAGTTTAAGTATTCTGTTCTGAACCATCTTCAAAACCATCTTCAAAAGCATGTTTTTAGACTTAGTTTATATGCATTGTCATGAGTGGTTAACTATACTTAATAGAATTTGTAGTTCTTATTTCCACTTATAAAACTTGGGTTACTTTTTACAAAGAATGCCCTCACTAGCTTTGTGAGCAAATGACTTCTCTCTTATGTGTGATGTTTAAGCAACGGCAGTACTCTCAGATTGACTTAGGTTTTTAACTCCAATTGTATTGCCAACTATTGAGGTATCCAGATACTGGATCTGCCTGCTAGTTTCTTGCGTTTGATATGCAAATTCGTTATTTCATTTTTACCTCTTACTGTTGTATAGTAAGGTTTGTATTGCTAAATGTATTTTTGCTGTTACTGTTTTAGTATCAACTATATGCCCCATTCTCTGCTAGAATAATAATGGTGTAGTGCTGTATGAAACCTCTTACATTTTGATTTGCTATGAAAGTAGTAGCCTCAGTTTATTCTCCCAAGTCTGATAGACCTTAATGTTGATTATTTTTGTTTTAGCTAGTGTTGACTGTAAGAGACCAAATGTCTTTAAACTTGTGAGTGACCGTTATGAAAGAAAGAGCCTGTATCTATTTAATGCATGAATTAACTTATGCACTATATACTGTGTTCCATCTCTGATTCTTTGTTATGTCTAGCCTGGTTGGCCCTTAGGTCTTTTTCGTTTCTCCTCAACTCTTAATTCCTGTGTTACAGTGAACCTTATGTCTTTCAAGCTGTTTTACTGCTGCTGTGTTTGTTACCTGCAGTGCCTTCCGTCAAATATTGTACCTCTTCTGGTAGTGATAATAATTTTTAATTTTGTCTATACACATTCTACCTTCTGTGTTAGCTTGGTGGTTTGAAACCTTTTTACATTTTTAATACCTTATTTCTAAGTTTATCATTTAACCTTTGACGTTCCTATTTACTTATCTTGTCATCAAGCTTTCATGATAGGGTGGCAAGAACATATTCAAGTTCGAGACGTCTTCAAATCCTAGCTTTACATTTCATTAGCTTTCACTTGCAGGTTAACTTGTCAGAGCCTTTGTTTCCTTATCTTGTAAAATAGGAATTATTAATTAAGGTTGTTAGAGTTAGACAAGCCTAAGTAAAGGAGCCTTGCATAATGTCTGACATATGGGTATTTAACTTTTAGTACATACTCCCTCTGCCCCCAAGCTATACCATCTGTCAGAATTCTGTTGGATACCTTAAGTGATCTCTTATACCCTCAAGAAGAGCTAGCTTGATTAGGTGATGATCTTGTATTAGTGATGTAATTTTTTTCTTTTTAAGGACTTATCTCTTGGGAATATCTCTTGGTTATTGCTCCTGAAAGAGCTTGTACCTTTAGACCAATTTCCTCAGGTTTTTTAGGAGAGAATTTTTTAATCCAGCTTCTGTATTGTAACTCTTCATTTCTGGTTTTCCTGTTTTCTAATTCTGTTTTCCTTTTGTCAGATTGCACAGTTCACTTCTGGATCATGCACTAGACTTGACTGCATCCATTTTGCATCTTATAGCTCTGTTCTTTTTCTATTTTATCTTTGTTGTTTGAGATACTAAATAATGCATTTGCTAGTGAGTTACTAACTGTTGGTGGAACTTAACGCCATTTTGTGTGGATGAGTCACCAGATTCTTCCCTTTGTGTGTGTGCATGATTCCCTCACTTTTGAGTTGTATTTTCTGTTTAATATTTTCTGGTTGGACTGTGTATTTAGGATTCTGAAGAAATTAGTGGAACAAATTAATAAAACAATCATAATACTTTAAATTCCTGGCTTTTTGTTAGTGACATTCTTATTGAATGCCTTGCCAGAACAACTCCTGAGTACATAAGAATTACATTTTTAAAAGTCTAATGTAGACACAGGTAAGGAGTAGTTAAAAACACCTATTGCATTGAAGGAAACTGGGAGGAAAGTTAATTTTCATGTTAGTAAATAACAGTTTTGACAGTATAATCCAAAGAATATTTTTTATCTCATCTTTGAAATTAAACATGAGTAGCTACAAATATTGTTAACCAGGATAATGCTCAAAATAAGTTGAGTTATATTAAGGTTTTTGAAGCAGTAGATGAAATTAAGCTTCATTAACTAATTTTAAACTTTTTTTAGGTAAATGAATTGGTGGATGCCAGAGATGTCGGCCTTGGTGCTTGGTTTGAAGCACGTATACATAGTGTTACTAGAGCTTCTGATGGACATTCACGTGGCAAAACTCCACTGAAGAATGGCAGTTCTTGTAAAAGGACTAATGGAAATGTAAATCATAATTCCAAAGAGAACACAAATAAATTGGACAATGTACCCTCTACGTCTAATTCAGACTCTGTTGCTGCTGATGAAGACGTTATTTATCATATCGAGTATGATGAGTAAGTGCTCATGCTGTTGAGGACTTCATTCATGTTTTTGTTTATAGAAGCAAACCCTTCCATTTCAAGATTCTTTACAAATAGTAGTCTTTCTGAAGAAATCATTTAGGGGTCATGTTCAGTCTATTACTGTCTGTTTGTTTTGTTTCTGTTTGTTTAGTGGTTGTAATACAATAAGGGCTCCTTACTAAAAGCTCAGTCATCTATGGCTCCTAAGAGGTTTGTTGTTTTTAGTATCCTAATACCTGGCTTAATTTAGTATGTAAGGGTTTCTCTTTAGCTCTTCTATTATATTAGGTTTTTGATATGTATTTTAATAATTTAGAAAGTGTACAATATTTAGTGTAATAGCCGCTAGAATATGGTTGAAATATTTTTTCTACACCTTATTATTGAGATAATTCACTCTTTTTTGGTGTATTCACAGGATTGTGCATTACCATAAACTAATTGCAGAACATTTTTATCTCGCTCCCAAAAAACCTCATACCCAACAGTCACTCCTCAGTCCCCCTCCCCCAACAGAATTTTTTTAAATGTTTGTATGAAAACAGTATTAAGAACTTGCCTTGAGGGCCAGCCCTGGTGGCCTAGTGGTTTAGTTGCCTGTGGACCTACACCAGTCATCTGTCAGTGACCATTGTATGGTGGTGGCTCACATACAAAAAGAGGAAGATTGGCAACAGATGTTAGCTCAGGACGAATCTTCCTCAGCCTTGAGAGCCTAGATTCTAACACTGAATTATTATTTTCTTTACCTATTTTCAAAATCCTAGTGTAAAAGTTACTATTGGGACAGATTTAGTATTTATTCAACACACTAAATGAACTTAAGTCAGTATTCAAGTGATACCTTAATATGCATGGAAAATATGCTACCAACTCCTTATTGAGCATAAGAGTTCGAGATCCTAAAATGGTTTTGATTTTTTCTTACTACAAAATGGTATAAGTTGTGAGTTGCTGTCAACTCAGATTTCCAGGATACCCGGAAAGGGGTCAAAAATAGATCCCTTTAATCTTTAATTTTCTGAATCTTCTTATGGTTGTGGCTAACTTGCCAACGTGGCTTATTTCAAATAAGCCATCAGATTGCTTTTTATCATAGTAGATGGTAATAAACCAACAACTAGAATGAGTATTAAGATCTGGGATTGACCAGGACTGTCAATAGTGGTAAATCAAGGGTAAGATAGAAAGGGATTGGAGTTGGTGTGTTGATAGTACACCCTATTGCGGTATGTTCTGAGAAATGCATTGTTAGGTGATTTTGTTGTTGCATGAACATCATAGAGTGTACTTATACAAACCTAGATGGTATAGCCTACTACACACCTTGGCTATATGGTACTAATCTTATGGGACCATTGTATGTGCGGTTAGTCATTGACTGAGATGTTGCTATGTGGTGCATTACCATAATCAGTCTCTGGGTTTATGAATGCCGTGGCAAAGAGGCAAGATACTGTAGTGGTCAGGGCCTTTGGCTATCTGTTTATTTGGTGTCAATAAATAGAGTTCTTGATTTGCTTTGAGTTTTCTTTCTTGGAGAAGAGAAGAAATAACTAAGAAAACCCCTGTCTGGGGCCTGATTCTGGCCAATAAAGGAGTTATGGTTTGGCAAAAAGTACCATACAGAATGACATCACATAGAAATAAGAAGCTTTAAACACTAAGTGAACTAAGGCTTATTAAGTTTTTACAGTTTTAGGGCTCTTTGTTAGTTTTGGAGTAAGACTTTCCAAGGAATAGGCCTGAGTTTGGTGTAATGTTAGAGCGTTTATTTGGTTTTTTTTTAAATGAAGGAGAAATTTGTCCTGATTAAAATGAATAAGTAAAAGGCAGTCTAAATCCAACATGCAGAAGAGACTAAAATTATCTGTCCTGAATAATTTTACATGATGAAATTAAATGTTTCAGTGCTGGCAACTTAAAGATATGATAACTGAACTTTCTTTGAGAAATAAAAGATAACAGAAGCTTAGCAGTAGGTAAATGTCATTCACATCTTTAAAAAGAGAAAAGGACTATATAAAGTATAAGATAAAAGAATGAGCTTCTGAGTAAGAGTCCCAAATAACAAAAGGCTGGTGTAAGCGCCTAGAAAGAATCATGACCCAATATGGATGTGATAGCAAATCCTGTTGAAGTTTTGTTCTTCACGGTTACTAGAAAAGTAAGTCAAAACTAGAGTAAAAAACGTGTTGATTTCAATAAGTTATTAAACAAATTCTTTCTTCCTTGGATGGGAAGATGCATTGAAGACAGCTTTTGAAGTGTATGACTTAGCAGTAGTAGTAGACAGATTTTTATTGAGTAGTAAGCTGCAAGTGAGTCAGTAGAATGTGACTATCAAATAGTTATGCTGTAAGGATGTTCTCATAGAAGTAAGATATCTAGAACAAGCCCGCTGATGCTACTGTTGTATTGGGCTGGTTATTCCCTGCTTGAAATATTGTTTTCCCTCTCCCACGCTTTAAGAACAATACCAGCAGGACCTGGTGAATCTTCAGAGTAGAACCGAAAATGTAAAAATGTAAACCATCATGAAGAATAGCTGAAGGAACTAAGTATTTAGCTTGAGAGGCTTGGATCGTGATAACTTTCGTATTTTAAAAGCTCTGTCTAGAAGGAAGTTCTGTACAACATAGGAGGTAAGTTTCAAGATAACCTAAACCCCCTACCAGTTAAATCTCTAAAGATAGAGAAGTCTCTGCCCTTAGAGGTAGCCAGTAAACAAGCATTGGCCGTCTTCAACCATAGACAGGGAGAATTAGTAGAGATGTTACATTGCAAAGAGAATTTATAAAGTTAGAGTGATTGGATTAGATGATGTCTTAAGTTTAGTATAATTTTTATTTCCAAGATGGTATTTCTCAGGTACTGTTTTTGTACTTGAACTTACTAAATAGGCTTTAAGTTCTTAGAGGCCCCCATCCCATTCCATTTATAATACTAAATATTGTCATTTCTCTCAATGAACTAACTTCATTTTTCTCCTACTAGAGTAAGTTGAAAGTAATCTGCTTAATTAATTATCATATCTCCAAAGTTCTGAGTGGAGCAGTGCAATTTGAATAAGCTATCATTTACCCAAGGCAGGGAGGTATCGTATATGGGACCAAGGAACCCGCCTCAGGAATTCTTTTGGGATATTCAGTGTCTGTCATTTTAAAATGATACTGTTTAAAAGCTATTTTTGTAGTGAACCTACAGATCTAATGTATTACCAGAGCAGATGAATTCTCACTCTTTGAAATGAACTTCATTAAAACAATTGCTGTCTCAGAACAAGATAAATAGTTATACTCTTGTATCTTTAATCCCCACTCCAGTCAGAGCAGAGTTAAAAAACCAACAATTTTTAGTCTATGAAGAATGAATAGGTATTACAGATTTATCATATACTTATTAGGTACAGGCATTTCAAAAAGACAACCCAAAAAAGGCCAAATAAAATCCAGTAGTGGTAACTGTTCTGAAATATAAATGAAATCATTTGTTTCCTAACCTCTCCAGTTTTCCTCAAATTTGTAGATAAAACATTGTAAGTTCATAAAAAGCAGGTTAAGATATTTACTTGAAATGTTTTAAGATTTGAGTTTTACTGTGTGTAAGGGTCCTTTTCCTAAAGATCCCTTGATGAACATAGACTGAAATGTTGAGGACTTGTGAAGATTTTGTAGTTTGTCTGTCATTAGGCTTGTCAGCTTTATGATTCACATCTCACTGCGAATAATATAACGCAAACATGGCGTTAACAGCAAAGTGCCCGGTACACAGTAGATATTTTTTTTTCTGATTGCTATTCTATACCACTCACCTGTTGTCATCCTTGTTTTAGCAAGGGTCTTGTTTAGTAAGTTCTTTGGGAGAAGGAGTTGGCAGTAGAAATACTAGATTTAGGCTTTAGAGATTTAGATTCCAAGGGATTCTTAAGTCCTCCTTAAGGTTTTTTTAAAAGCACCCTGTTAGCAGGCATATACTACTTGGCTGTGAGGAGGGAACGACCTTTTTCCCTCCCAAAGTCATGATTACTGGAGAGAGACTATGCCTAATTGTAACCTTTATTTTTAGTGGTATTTTGGACAGAAAACAAAAGGAAAGGGCTTCAGAAGTGAGCAAATGTCAAGGTAATATAGGCAGTTGTAAACCATGCAGTGGTTAAGTGGTCATCTAAAGAGAAAAGGGAGAGAACATTTTTTCCTTACTACATAGTAAGCTTGTACTGTATACTTCTATAGCTTTCTAAAAGTTTTTTTATTCTCATTAATATCCTCTCTTGTAGTTAAGGTATTTAAAGTTCAACATTCTTAAGGGCCCATGTAAATGGACAAAGCTGTGACTGCGGTCTTGTAAGAGTGGAGACCCTCAAGCTATTGTGATGAAGAACATAGTGTTGACTGAGGGGCAGTCGTAGACTGGGAAAGGACAATCATTCTTTAGTGTTTCTGGTAGATTAATATGTCTATAGCATAGCTTACAGTGATTTAGATTACATTAAATCTTGTGTGCCAGACTCTGAGCTAACTGCTTAAATGGATACTCATGTAATCTTTAGCATAACTATAACGTTAGTTACATTAACTCCCATATAAAGAGATCAAGGCTTAATTACGTAACTTACCAAAGGTCTCGTCTATTAAATGGTCAGACTCCAGAGCCTAAGACTTAACCAATATGTGATATTGCCGCTTGGCCTAAACATGGTACATGCAATTGATAGTTGTTGCCTACACTTCTCTTGCCTTCAAAGGTCAGCCTTTTTGCAGGACCTAAAGATTTGCTTTATCCTTTGTGTGGGATTTAAAGCAGATAGTACGCATGAGACTTGCATTGAGTTAAACCCTGGGTATGTAAGCAACTGAGGCCACTCTACTGAATTTAATCTTTAGTCATCACTTGGCTGCTTTATCAGCAAATAAAGGCTAAAATCCTTATCCTGCTTTTGTATTAAGAAACATCTGTTTTCAGTGGATTTGGTTTAGATTTGTTTTAAT